TACACTGGGAAAAGTAAATAAACTTACAGCAGTTATTTAAGCTAACATTTCTAGCTTGAGCACAAGCAACAAACAAAGCAAGAATAGCAATGGTCCTGATCATTTTGATTTTGATTCAGTAAAGTTGAAACAATAAAATAAGATGAATTATAGTTAAGGCAAACTAATTAGCTTCTGTGTCAATCAAAAAAATAGCCATGTTTTATATAATGTTAACACTACGATTGAGATCTTGATGCTTCGATAGCTAAATTCCTCATGTTCAGCCCATTCTATTATAAATTAAACTATTCAATTATAACGAAAAATTTTCATTGTTTTCTATTTTGATAATTGTATCATTTTTAAAAAAGAGGAGTAATGATTAACTTTACTGATTATCATTATTGTTGCTTGCTGCAGTTTGTATTATCTGCATTTCTGGATTCCTGAAAGGTTGACAATTTTCAAACCAAAAACCATTTATTACATTTATTACATTCTTATCACAACCAATGCTATTTTCAGACCATTTTTAAGGAGGAAAAATCAATATTTCAATTGTATTTAATTATTTTCAATCATTTGGCACTACGCGTTATAACATATTAGCTATCAACTAAATAATATTAATAGCTCTATCCTAAGTTGTCACTCTTTTGGATCTGATTAGTTAAATAAAGTGCGATTTTTAAGAAATCTCTCCATAGTTATGTTCTAATGCTAACGCCTTTGTCCGTGAAAGCAAAGCCTTACCGATGAAGATGTCTGATATAATTAGATTACACTGAAGGTTTTAGTTAATCTTCAAAAATTGATCTGAATTTGAAAGTGATGAAGATGTAAAATATTGTGTGATATTTTTCCGCATCAATAAAAATCTGAAGTCAAGATGGAAATGAAATTACTGCACTTGAAACTAGATTAACTTAAGGAATAAGATGATAACCTATGCGCAGAAATTCTTGGACAGATAATATAGTCAAATTTTTCGGGAACCAGTAGTGACAAAGGGTTGGAATTTTCAGGAATCTTACATCTAATCATAATTGATATCCAGTAAAAATTTGGGAATTTTGCAAACAGTATTTCAGAGTTTATGCAACATTTTGGAAACTCGCGCGTCGCTATATTTTACAAAATAATTTCGATCGTAAATGAGTTGTTGATTTCAAATTCCTCTAATCCCTTTACGATTACTGAAATCAGGCATATTGAAGCATTTCTGATTGAAATTTAACCTAAATTTTATGTTGGTAGCTTTAGAACCTCGAAATTTCAACTAAATAATTAATAGGATTAAAAATAAGACTAAAATTTTGAGTAAAAAGTTTGACCCCCCATAATTTAGAGACCGATGAAAAGCCGTGAAATGAAGCTGAATTCATTATCGAACCATAACACAAATTATATCATCTTGAAGCTCTAACTTTCTTCTATCCATTGTATCAAAATTTGTGTCTCTATCTGCATTAGTTCATTAAATAAATTGTCTTGATCAAGTTGTCCAAGAATTTCTGCGCATAGGTTAGTGTATTATCTATTAAATATCTATCAGGTTTCCCTGAAAGTTTTTACTGTCTTGAGCGTTCCTATTTAAAACAATTAATTCAGTAAAATTGGTTCAATTGGTTTGATTTTTTCTGAAATATTAATTTAATATTTGTTCTTTAATTTGCACCTAATTTTATGATTGAAATTATTGATTAATATACTTTAACTCTGATTTAATTAAAGGGCTTCCCATCACAAAATAGTGACTTCTCTTAGTAAAGGTTGGTTTTTTAATCTTATTGTTATGTGATTGATCAATATGTTTGATGAAAACCAACTCAAATCTTTCCATCAAACTCATCTAACTAAGTGAAACAAGGAAAAAGGATGTTTCTTACGTTTCAACTAACGTTAGTCCTCGTTTACAGGAAAATATATCCTGCACAAAGAATCTCCAGTTAGGAATAGTTGTTGTTAGATCAGTTACCTAGTAATCTGCCAAGATAATCGCATATAAACTATTTAAAACTGGCTCATTCCAATAAAGAAAAGACAAAGAAAAGGATAAAAAAATGAAGTTCAATATGCTATTACAATATCTGTTCGTTTGTAGTTTTGTTTTTGAGCAAAATTGTACCAAATTGTTTGAATTGTCTTTAGAGGTACGAAAGATACCAATTAATACTAAATAAACCA